CAATTTCCAACAATTTATTTTAAGAGAACTTGGCCTATAAATGCTTTTTATATTATAACTAAAGGCAACTAGAAACAAAAGTTACAAACAATTCAAAAGTGACTTTGAGTCCAAAAAAAGCTGACAATCACTTTTTAAAAGCTTTTGCAACCATCACCTAAGTCGTGTTCCACTAATTTTAAAGTCGATAATGCAAATAAAAACTAGCACGTACATTTTTCAAGTTTCTCCTAAAACAATTGTTATTATGCTCCAATCGTTTCAAAATACTTGCACTTTCTTTTTCTTTTTTTCTTTTGTTTTTCATATTATATATCGCTTTAAAGTTCTACGTATTAGTTATTATTTTCCATTTTCGTGCTAATTACTCATAACTTATTTCAGTCATTAGCCCTCGTGTTTTAATGGAGAGAACGTTGCTAGCGGCACAAGCATTTTAATCACGTTGCATTTTTTTGTTCTACGATCCATGTATATTTATTTATTTTTTGTAATACTGCGTCGAAACCTTAAACGAAAATTATTACTCCCTATGTTCCACAATAACTCTCTTTTTTAAATTATTTTTGTTCCGTATTATCTATCACTTTACATTTCAAATACTGCATTAATTGTGTAATTATCAATTTTACCCTTATTAACTATCTCAAACACTCTCTCACATTAATTATTGACAAGGGCATTTTAGTATCAGAACATATATTTTTCTAAAATTAAGCAACATTTATTGAGATTCTTAATCTTTGTGCACAATCTAAAAACGACAATTATAAAGGAACGGAGGGAGTAATTTGAAATGGATGACAAACACCGGGTGAGATACACCGGATAGATCTTTACCATTCATATACACACAAACACACACACCCACATTGGTATGTGTAGATCAACGGTAAAAAATCACCCGGTGTAACCTTCACCGGGTGTAGGATAGATAAAACCTTCCCTCAATAGTTGTCACTTTTGTTAGTTGCACACATATTAAGAAACTCAATAAATATGAATAAATAGTAGCAAACAATATAGTAAATCACTAAAATGCCCATGGCATTAATTGATTTTTAAATAATTATATTTCAATTAATTATGAGTGAGAAAGGGCAAAACTGAAAAAAATGCAATTAATTATTTATTGGAATAAATGATAAATAATTTGAAATATAAAAAAATGACAAAAGTGACAAATATTAAGGGAAGGAGAGAGTAATTACTTCCCATATTTCACATGAAATTCATAATTCATTGATTTAAACATGATTGGATCCAATTATTGTAATAGTTGATGTATTTATTAGTAGCCAACTCCCAATATATGAAACTCTGCTGGCCCATTTGGGCCGTAAACTATAATAAAAATAATGTTTTGCCATGAAGCCCAAACATTAATTTCATTTTCAAGAGTAAATTATCGTTTTCGGAGTTATTTTTATTTTATTTTGGAAAAATATATTTTGTTTAAAAAAGAAAGTAATGTTTGTTTATCAATTAAGATAACAAAATACATTGTACCAGTTAAATCATTTTTGTTTGATTTTTTTTTAACACATTTATTATTGTAGCAGTCATTTTTTTTTTTTTTACTGTAGCAAACATACCATGTCGGGAGGAGAGAAGAACTTTTAAACTTGTTTTGAATTTTTTATTTTTGAAAAAACCTAAACAAAGACCATGAAAATGCAACCGATAAAGTTCTAAAAGTATTTTTGATAAAATATTAAAACGATCCCAAATATATATATTTGTATATTCTCACGCAATACGAGACTTAAAATGCAATATATAGAAATTAATTATCAGTTTACCAAAAATAAAACGGTAACCTAGTTGATAGAGTAAATGTGCATGATATAAGCTGAACCCATTTTCGAATTCCCTTACCAAATAATAATAATTAAGGTTCTCTTTGTCACAATATTAAGTACAATGTGTCAAATTAATATCACCAGGTGAACATTGATATAATAAACTATTAGTAATTGTTTAATTTGCTCAAAAACCCAATCAAATTAATTAATCGGAAAAGCTTCACGGCCAGAATCTGGCTGGCCAGAATGGTCAATTTTGTAAATATATAAAAGTTTATTATGTCTAATTACTAATATACCCTTCAACTATAATATAATTAATTCCAATTTGAAATTTTTGTTTCTCTCTCCTAATAATTACTAGGATTCATAGTTTCCAAGTATTCAATCAGATTATAATTTACAATGATCAATAACATTAATTAAATTCTTCCATCCATTTATTTTGTTTTCTTCGTGTCCAGATTCTAAAAATTGTAAAAATATAATAGAGGCTTCTACTTCTTTTTATAAGAGTGCTTTTTTGTGGATGTTGTTGGATTAAGACACAAAATTGGTGGAAAAATCAATAAAGCTTCACAAACCCAAAAAAATAGTGGCTACAATAGATACAATTATGAGTTATGCTAAAAATACGACAAAAAAATGTGTTCTTGATAATTAATGATGCGATATTCTGACAAAATAGCGGTTCAATAGTCTGAGTTAGGGGTGGTAAACGAGCCGAGCCGACTCGTGAGCTTGATGGGCCGGCTCGAAAAAAACTCGAACTCGAACTCGAGTTTTTCGAGCTCGAGTCAGTTTTTAGTTGTTCATGAGCTCACGAGTCGGCTCGCGAGCCTTATTTATTATTTTTGTTTTTTTAATTATTTTTTTATATATTATTTTTTATTTAAATAATATATAATATTATAGAAATAAATATAAGTAAAATATAAATATAAAAAATATTTATAATTACAAATTATTGTTGATTTTGTAATTTTTTAAAATAATTTTTAATAATAATAAAATAATAATTAAAAAATATTAAAAAAATAAAACAACAAAATGAGCTTGAGCTCGAGCTCGATAAAATGGCAAGAGCTCGAGCTTGAGTCTGTCAAAAGAGGCGAGCTCGGCTCGTTCACACCCCTAGTCTGAGTTATGCTAAACAAAATTTATTATTATTATTATTATTGTTATTATTATTATTATTATTATTATTATTATTATTATTAGTATTATTATTATTATTATTATTATTATTATTGATTAATAATAATAATAATAATAATAATAATAATAATAAAATAAACAAACTGTAAATAAATAAAATAATAACTTTTGTTTACTTAGGCTCAACTAACTTCCATAATGACAAATTGGGAACGAAATTAGAAAGATAAATTAATGGAGCCAAAATCACTATTAAGGACATAACTGTAAATAAATAAAAGAATAAAAAGAATATTAAATTCTGGCTGGCCAGATTCTGGCCATTTAGCAAGGTCCTTAATTAATCAACACCAAAAAATATTGTAAAAAAATTACAGCACAGGAAGCCATTCCCAGTTATGTTGTTTTCATTAATTGATCATGTTTAATTACAACTTTAATTTGTCCGAAACCCTGTCTCAGCAAACAATGTACTAACTCTTTTTTGTTTTTTTTTTTTAATAATTAATTAATTTTCAAAATAAATAATTTAAATAAAATGGCCGTCTTGCAAGTACAGATTAGTTACATCCATCCATAGCAGGAAGACAGGGTCAAAAGTACAGTACTAATTAGTAATTAATTAATTAGTCGTTAGCCTTAAACGCGTTATTTAGCCGTCTGTTTTTGTTTGTCCCTCACTGAACCGGCTAATTAACGGAATTTAGTACGTAACATTTATGTCGATTTGTTTCTGATAAGCGATGTTTATAAAAACGAAAAATACCAAAGGTTTACATATATCATTCTTTTTTCGCATGAAGTGGTCATTCAACATATGTATTTCGTATAAAGTGTCATCATCGCACTATAAACACGATTTCGACGAGCGGTCATTCTTTTTTCGCATGAAGTGGTCATTCAACATATGTATTTCGTATAAAGTGTCATCATCGCACTATAAACACGATTTCGACGAGCGGTCAACTATTCAATACAATCGATAACAAATCGAGCATGTAACTTATAATTGAACCCAATAAAAGAAAAAGGGTTAATTTTCCTTTTTTGAAGATTGCTTCTTTGTATATATGCCTATGTATATATACCAAAATAATTATAGCATAAATTAAATGAGCACACGAGGCCTCTTAATTTGTATCTCATTTAATTTTCTGCAATCTTTTAATAATGTGTAGGTTGGCTGAGATAAATAATTTTACAACCGTATTATTAAAAAAAAAAAAAATTTACCCGAAATTGATAATAATACATCCTAGGAACTTGACTAAAAAAGGGATTAAAGTTAATGATCTTAGTGTCACAAATCACAATCAAACCCTTCTTTCTAACCAAAGCCCAAAGGTGTAAGAAAAAAAATTGTTATGTATTATTTGTTCTGTATTATTTGTCACTTTTAATGATTTCCGTATGTTTTCCTATTTTAACATTATTAATTTAATTTTAAGCGTTATTTCTTTCTTTTAAATCATTAAAAGGTTATTTTAGTCTTTTTTATGTATTTTTCGTAAAATCAAGATACATTTATTAAATTTCTAAACATCTATACAAAGGTGAAAAAACGACATCTTATTAGTAACGGAGGGAGTATATATATATATATATATATATATATATATATATATATATATATGATCAAGACTAAGTCATATAATTGTCCTTGATTAGTGTTTTGTCTGATGATGAAATCAAATGAAGTCAAAAAATTAATCACCAAAAAAGAAGTATATTTTCCAAGCCGGCCAGGTAATCAAAACCAAGAAAAAAAAATCACACACACACACACACACGCACATATATATATATATATATATATATATATATATATATATATATATATATATATATATATATATATATATATATATATATATATATATATAATTTGTTGTTTTCCTTCAATCCTTTCACTATCTAGTTATAAAACCAATATTATTTAATTCCCCCACTCAAGAAAATACTACCTTGCTCTTGTAAACTTCATTCTTCAACCTAATTAAGAGAAACTAAACACACATTTCATTTTCTTTGCTTAAGATGGAGACAGGAAAAAGCAGCAACTCCTCCGATAATTTCGTCCCGCCGGAAAACGATCACCGACCGGAGAATTCCACTGGAGACAGCGCCGGAGTCGGCCGATCCTACGAGTGCACTTTCTGCAAGCGCGGTTTCACGAACGCGCAAGCTTTGGGAGGCCACATGAACATCCATCGAAGAGACAAGGCCAAGGCGAAGCAGAAGAATCGGGACGACGAAATTACGTCAAACACCCCGAGCAACGTTAGTAAACCCCAAGAGAATATTCCGCATCATCATCAGTATCAAATGTACTTGCCTCCGCCTCCGCCGCCGCGAAACCCTAATTTCCAGACGGGGGATTATTTGCCGCCGCTTCGGAGACTGGAGAATTACGATCATCGTCGGGTGGGACACGTGGCGGACCTTAGCCTGAGGATCGGATTGTCGACACCAACGACTGTTGAAGGTGGAGAAGCGAAGGAAAACGATGATGACGTGGATTTGGAGCTTCGTCTTTAGGGTTTCACAAAACCCTAATTGATGATGATCAAGATATATCCATGGTGTACAGAAAGTGAGTTTTATTATTATATTTATATGAAGGATATATAATTGATGGTTAATTATATTAATTAATTTCTTGGGATTAATTTTATTATATATATAAATATATATACAAGTGCAGCAATTAAATTTGGAATTTTTATTATAACATGATGTTCATGTTGATTTTATTAATTATTAAATTAATTATCTCCCCAACTTTATGTTATTACAAGAACAATTTGAAGCACATTTGTTTCATAATTAGTTTGTACTATTAAGTATTGATTCTAAATTAATTAATTCTGATGTTTTAGTAATCGCACGTACGAATCTTTAACGGCGTTCTTCGTTTTCTATAAACTAATTAACTCGAACCGGGAAGCTGCATTTATCATCAATGTTTGGTGCGACAAGCCTTTCTTTGGCGTTTTCCTTATTTTTTTCTTTCTTTTTTTTCTCCTTATCATAGTTAGTTTCACGAATTAATGCTAACGAATAAATTTCATATGTTTTGAATCGGCATTTCTCTTGCTATTATCTTATCTTCTTGAGTGATTTTGTTAGGAAAGTAATTTAATTTGAAATTTGAATCAAGTGACCCAAATGTGATGGATGTGCTCATTTTTTTATATGTTGTACTTTTGATCGATACATCAGTGGAGCCAAAATTTTACGTTTGAGAGAGCTGTTAATGCTATTATACACCAAAAAAATATATTGTAATAAAAATAAATAGAGATTTGAAAGATGATGGGAGGTGATGGCCCCCGCCCCTATGTTGGCTCCACCAGTGGGGTGGCAATCGATTACGAAATCATTTACGATTTTTTGAATGAAAAATATGCTTTCTTATTTGTGCATTTAATTTATTTGTTGGTTCATCTTCTTTGCAATTAGCTCCACTTAATAATTAAATTGAAATTATGATGGAGTACTCTGATTTTCAGAAACACGTGTACACCCCACGTGTGTTATATATGCACATCAGCACATGGACAACATTAATGGGTGCAATATTTTCCAAGTCTTTCGTTGCATAAAAACCTTAGCAATTGATTGCATTGATAGGAACACAAAGCTCGTTTCGGATATTTATATGCTACACACGGCGAAAACTATATTAGGTGTTTTTTTACTGTTGATCTACACACACCAATGTGGGTGTGTGTGTGTGTGTGTTTGTGTGTAAATGAATAGTAAATATCTAACCGATGTATTTCACCCAGTGTAGTATAGATAGACACTAAAAAATACCTTCTTTTATTTATCATTTTAGGAAAATATTTGATGATTGGTGAAGAGGTCCATGGTATTTTTGCAGAAGTTTTGAATGGGAAAATTGGTATCTAAATTCATATAATTATTAGGAAATTTGAATTTTCTGAACAAATAGTTTGAAAATTAAAATATATTTCCAAACAAAATACAACTTTAAATATAGCTGACTAAAACCCCTTTTTTTTCTTCTGCTAATAACGAATGAACTCACAATCAATCATATATGTGCAATTGCACTGGTAAACTTTCTCGTGTTATAACCTAAAAATTACACGGAATATATAATTCACATTACACATAAGTTATAGTGTGCAATAAATTAGACCCGAAAAACGTTATCGAGAGATTCGAACTTGAAACATTTGACTCTGCATTTTTTTTTTCTTTTGGATATTTGTGATACTACTACCCAAATAAAGATGCACCGCAAAAGGTTAAATTCATGGTTGGGCCCAAGAATGTTTGGTCTAGTCCAATTGTAGTTCCAAATCCAACTTGACCCAATTCTACTTTAGACCAAATTTGTTTGGGCAACAACCCATTACCCTTCTTGTTGACCGTTGACTTTAAATTGGGAAAAAATACTAAAGTCAAAATTTGTTCATATATTTGTCACGAAATTTAAAGTTTTTATTTAGAGCAAAGAGATTTTGGCGATATTTGCGGATTAAAAACACCGACATAGGAAACTTCACAATCCAATAAACTGAGCGTATGCGTCGGCGGTAATCACTGGTCTGAGTTATGCTAAAATTGAATAAACTCGTGTTTTGATGGTTAATAAAGGCGATACTTTGGCAAAAATAAAGGTTTTAAAGCAAAAAATGGAATCGGTGCTAGATTTTCATTTATTTAATAAAATATTCTACATTTACTAAAATGGATAATGTATTTATCAAGTCCCTTTAATAGTTCAACAAGAAACAAAAAATGATGTTGTAGTCAAGGTATAATTAGTGAAGAAATTGACTTGTTAATCAAACTTAGACGCAAACACTAACACATTGCAAATACTAAATTGTGTGTAAATGTATGTACATATTGTTTAGAACACACTCAACTAGGTGTAATTGGGACAAAATTATTTCCAAAAATCGGTGAAATGAATTAACATTATTACATAACATGATTAATGAATATGTTTAAAAACAAAGTTAAGAGTCTCTAATTAGTATTTGAACATGACCACCTAACTACTTAACTAATGATTATTATTGTCTCACATGAAAGACTTGATTTCAAGAGATTAGCATTTAGCAATTTGCAATGGCAAAGGATCAAATTTATACGAAATATATAAATATTAATTTTTTTTAATAAAATACACTTAATAATTTAACTCAACAACTCGAATAGTCATAACTATATTATTTGACATAGTTTAAACATTTGTTAAATAATTTATACTTATTCTTGCATTTGTCACAACATATAGTTTTTATATATGTCGAATCTTTTATACTTATGCTTGATCAATTATTATTAGTTTAGTGCGAATTAATGTACACATTGTATAATATGCCCTGTTTTTAGTAAAATTTAAAACTCGCATTTGTTATATCCTAAAAATAAATTGTGGCCAACAAAAAAAAAATTATTGTACACATTAAGGCTTAATTCCACCATGCACCCCCGAAATGCACAATTTTAGAACTTTACATCTTCGAAAATAATTTATGGCACTTTGCACCCTCAAAATACATTTAATCGTTCAAAATGTACATTGCTCTATTTTCCGGTGTTGACAAATTTTATGATTGTCAACCGGGTTACTTTTGTCTCTTCATCGACCTTTTCTTTGGGGTGCAAAGTGTCAAAACTAATTTTTCGAGGGTGCAAAGTGAAATTAAGCCATGAAATAATCCTATGACATATGTTAATGATGACGTGTGAGTGAGACACAGTGCGACCAAAGTCAAATACCACTAGAAGAAATTTTGGTCCCAATCAAAAAATGTTTTGAAAATCCACAGATTTTGAGACATACATAAATAAATCTTAGGCATAAATATCTACTCCCTCCTTCCCATTTTATTTGTCGTTTTGAGCTCATGCACACATATTAAGAAAATCAATAAATGTGCATGGATTCTACAAAAATCATAATAAAATGACTAAAAAACCACTCTTATTTATTGCTCCATCATTAATTCTTTTAATAGTAGTAAGGGTAAATTTGAGAAAACACAATAAATGTGCCATTGAAATTGTAAAGTGACAATTATTTTGAAATAAAAAAATATCTCTAGAAAGACAAATAAAATGGGAAGGAGGGAGTATTTAATTTAATTCAGTTTAATTTAGTCGAACTACCTGAATCAGTACATTGCATCTAGGAACTCACGACTTTTCAAATATTTAATTATATAGAGAATTAATCCCAAATGACAGTAGAAGACACGGTTAATGATGTCACTAATGACATATAAAGTAAAAATTTTATTTAAAAAATAATAATTCAAATTATAGATTACCAAGTGGTGCTTGAAAATAAAAAAATTCAAGTACATTGTACAATATTGGATCAATTTTTCTGAATATTATTTTAACTATACTCACTATAATCAATTTTGGATAGATAGATTTTCTCTTATTTTGGCCACTAACACTACAACAAATAAACTTTAAATTCACAACATTTACTAATAATCAGCGCCGGGCGTGGTCTAGTGGTTGGAGTAAGTTTATATAAATTGACTTACATTTGATACCTAGTCGCACTCGCACTCGATATGGGCTATCTCGCCTATTTAGGTCTCGTCCAAGTGAAATAAGACCAATTATTTTTTTTTGTCGGTATAACATCTCTGAAGTTACGTTGTTTTCTAGAGGGCCGTTCAAATTATTATTTGTCATCATTGTTACGATAATTCAACTAGATTTTGCATTTTTCGGATGATTTCACCATCTAACATTTTTGTCCACAATATTCTTTCTTTTTTAAATATATTTATTCAAAATATTAATAATAGTAATTTCATAAATTAATAATTATTAGTTTATCAATAAGTTAATATTTTATTAAATTAATATATTATGTCGGTCTCAATTGTATTAATTTATTGAGGTTTAATTGTACTGCTTTGAAGCTAATATTATAAATTATAAAATCTATCAGATTTTTTTTATATTCTATATGTAACCACATGGAACAAGAGCATGAAGTGTACATATTGAATACACAAAATAAATTGTAGCGACAAATTACGACCGGCCCTAAGGTAAGGTTAAATTGCAAAAACACCCTACATGTTCGCATAATTACATGCACTCACTTAACTATGTATTATCTTACGAAAAACCCCTACAATTGATAAATTTAGGCGCATTCATTTAGTAAAATTGTACATAAATTGCGATGCCCCAAAATTTCATACCATTTAGTCTTTTAGTTGGATAAATAATTGAATTACCAAAATTTCATTAAAAATATTTAAAAATTTTATTTTTTATTTTTTTAATTAATTTTAGTTTAAATACTAATATTAGATATATAAAAAATAAAATAAAATTGAATACCACACCGAATTAACGATTCGATAATCAGCATATACGATTGGATCGGTTTACCGACTAGATGAACATCCCCGGGTAAATTTGACATAGTAAAAGTGGATGCATAATACAATCTATGATTGGAGGGATAATTGTAATTATGCAAACAAGAGGGGTTTGTTCGTAATTATGCCTTAGCTTACAGGTGGTCCTTGGCCTAAATTGTATATATATATTTTTCGAATAATAAATTGTATGAATTAGCGGACGTTTTAATTAATTAATTAATTAATTTGAACAAAAGTGCGTCTATGTTCTGTTAATGTAAAACCCCTTTAGACCCCACCCCCCTACAACCACCCTACCCCCCTTAGATCCTCTCTCACTCTACTTTCTCTCTCTACAGACTACAATACGTACAATTTATTATTCTCTCTCTCTCTCTCTCTCCATATATTTCTTCGAATTCTCTCTTCTCTCTTCTCGTACCATTTCTTTCCTTTTTCTTCTTCTTCTTCGCATTGCAAAACGACGACGTTCACTTCACTTCTCCCTCTCTCTACGATCGAGTTTCCATACACTCTCTCTCCTCTCTCTCTCTCTCTATCTCTCTCTCTCTAGAGAAACACCATGAAAGCTCTGATTATTTATCATCTTTGCACACATTGCTTAGATAAAAGTACATATGAAGGATCTTAACCCTGATTTTTGCCTCTTTTGATTTTGGATTTTTTTTATTTTTTTATTTATGTAATATAGTTTAAATGTTTGTACTACGAATTCATGGATTCGTCATTGGATTTTGATTTTCTCGAGCAGCGGTGTCGGATTTTGCATTGGCCGATGATTTCTGTGCGGTTTTCGGATGCGCGTATGATCTGAAGATCAGCTTGTCCGAATTTTATATTATCAGGTACAATTTCTTTTTTTATTCACTTTCAATTTCCGTTTGTGGGGTTTTCTATTACTTTATTGTTTGTTTCTGAATTCTCGCATTCTTTGTGATTAAGATCAATCCGACGTCGTATTATAAGTTTCAATTACAGGTAAGAACCGCACAAGTTGAATATATTATATTGGCGGCGGGTTAACGGGTCGGGTCTTTTTGTTTCATACATTTTCCGAACAAGAAAAATCAACCAATGCTAAAGATTCTGTTGTGACATTATGCGATACAATGTCAATAAAACAACATTGGCATCTACTCTGTTGTTGCTCCTAATATCACTCCTCCTTTCAATCTCGACCGCCGACGAAAACGGGCCCCGCTGCAACTGCGACGACGACGACGAAGAGGATCGTTTCTTCAGCATCGAGAATATCCTCGAATGCCAAAGAATCAGCGATTTATTGATCGCGGCAGCGTACTTCTCAATCCCAATCGAGCTGCTCTACTTCGTGAGCTGCTCGAACGTTCCTTTCAAATGGGTGCTTTTCGAGTTCATCGCATTCATAGTACTCTGCGGAATGACTCACTTGCTCAACGCGTGGACTTACGGGCCCCATTCGTTCCAGCTCATGCTTGCGCTCACCGTTTTCAAGTCGCTAACGGCTTTGGTTTCTTTCGCCACGGCTATAACACTCGGAACGCTGATCCCGTTATTGCTCAAGGTGAAGGTGAGGGAGTTCATGCTTAAGAAGAAGGCTTGTGATCTCGATCGAGAAGTAGGGCTTATCAAGAAGCAGACGGAAGCCGGGTTGCACGTGCGTATGCTTACGCAAGAGATACGTAAATCGCTCGATCGACACACTATTTTGCACACCACTTTGGTCGAGCTCTCGAAGACGCTCGGTTTGATGAATTGTGCGGTTTGGATGCCGAGCGAGGGTAAAACCGAAGTGAATCTAACCCACGAATTGAAAAATCTGAATTCGTCGAGCGTTTATAATTTAATTAAAAAAACCATCCCGACTAATGATCCCGATGTGAGAGAGATTGAAAGAAGTGACAGGGTGAAGATTCTTGATTCCGATTCTGCCCTTGCGGTTGCTAGCGGTGGTGGTGGTGGTGGTGGTTCTGTGGCGGCGATTAGGATGCCGATCCTTCGTGTTTCGAATTTCGAAGGTGGGGCCCACGAGATGGTCCCCGAATGCTACGCTATACTCGTGTTGGTTAACGGACACGATAGAAATTGGAGCGATCAAGAACTCGAGATAGTGGAGGTGGTGGCCGACCAAGTCACAGTGGCTCTGTCGCACGTGTCGATTCTCGAAGAATCTCAACTCATGAGAGAGAAACTCGCCGATCAAAATCAAGCCCTCCAACAAGCCAAAGAGGACGCAATAATGGCGAGTGGGGCCCGCAGTGCGTTTCAGAAGGGAATGAGTAACGGGTTGAGAAAGCCCATGCACTCGATTATCGGGTTGTTGTCGTTATTACAAGATGACGAGAACGTGAGTAGCGAGCAACAGCTTCTGGTCGACACAACGGTTAAGACAAGCAATGTTCTCTCGACATTAATAACCAACAACGGAAGGCTATTATTCCCTTTGGATATAAAGTCTTTCCCGTTTCATTCTACGCTACGAGAAGTTGCTTGCCTATCAAAATGCCTATGTGGTTATCGGGGTTACGATTTCGCGGTTGAAGTCGATAAGTCGTTGCCGGATCGTGTGAGTGGAGACGAGAGGAGGGTATTTCAGGTAATTTTGCATATGGTTGGTAATCTTTTGAACGGGGGCGAAGGGGGCGGCGGTTTTCTTGTGCTACGGGTTTCTTCCGGGGGTGGGAGCAAGGGGGGGTGGAACGAGCAAAGGTGGGGCCCGTGGAGATCGAACTCGTCATCCAACGGCTATGCTTACGTCAGGGTTGAAGTTTGTGTTCGTCGTAGTGGTGGTTTTAAGGCGGAGGAGATGCTTTCGATTGTTCCGCATGAGGAGAGCATGAGCTTTAGTGCATGCAAGAAGCTAGTTCAGGTTTGTCTGTGGATTTATTGTTGCATTTAGTACCCCCTTTATTACACCTAATTGCTAAAAAGCTCCCTGTGTAATAGATATTAGCAAAATAACCCCTATGATGCATGTTTTTCAGAACACAACCCCCTAAATGGTGCGTTTGTGATCTAGCATCTTCATTTATTTATTTATTTCTCCTAGAAATAATGTGATGCTATGTGCTAAGGTCTCGAATCTCGATTGATTGCCGAGATAAGATCATACAATTTTATGGTGATCGAAGACACGATTTTTCAATAATCGGTTTCGCAATTAATAAAATATCCGACACGATCCAATTATTTGATTTTATTTTATAAAGCTAGAAATTCAATGTCGTCGTAAACTGTGGAACTTAACGTTGTTTTTTTTCCCATAGTTAATGCATGGTCACATTTGGGAAACATCAAATCCGGAGGGCTTCGACAAAAGCATGGCTCTCGTACTCCGATTTCAGATCAGGCGATCCAGTATTATAACCGGAATATCCTCCTCCGACCAACACGGGGAATATTCTTCTTCCGATCAGCATTCGTACTCAATCTTGAGAGGCCTCAAAGTTATTCTTGCCGACGCGAGCGATGTGAATAGAGCCGTCACTCGAAAACTGCTCGAGAAACTGGGGTGCGTTGTCGTGTGTGCAGTCTCGTCGGGAAACGAGTGCGTGGGCGTTCTAATTAGTGGCGCCAATCCCGTTATTTCTTCGTGCGAGATCGTGATCGTCGATCTCGACTTGCCCGATTTGGACGGCTATGATGTGGCCGCGAGGATTCGAAAGTATCGGAGCGGTTCTGATTGGCCGTTGACTGTGGCGTTGACCGCGAGTGGAGATGGAGAGACGAGGGAGAGATGTTTGCGGGTCGGAATGAATGGGTTTATTGAAAAACCCGGTTCGTTTCGAGATTTTGGCTGTGAGCTCAAGAGGGTCTTGATGCAGGCAAATAGACTATTGCCCTGTTAATTTGAATAACATTTACAAAGGCAAATTTCATACACAAACAATAAATCAAACAATTAATCAAAATGGTATATAGAAATTGTTCATCTTCTTCCTTTACTTCATTTCTTTTTATGCTTTATATATATATATATATATATATATATATATATATATATATATATATATATATATATATATATATATATTCTCGGGGTCGTTTTATTTATTTTAGAATTAATATAAAATCTATTATTAGTAAATAACAACAAAATAAAATATATTATTTTATATTTGGGGGGTGTCTCTGTGTTTATCTCGAAGGTCTTTTTATGAAACACACCGAATATATTTTTACCATTCTATATACACATAAATACGCACATAATTGTGTGTGTGTGTGTATATATATATATATATATATATAT